CCCCAATCTTCAGGTATTTCTCAATCTAGAGCTTACAGCTCTAAAACGGATGGTGTGTTGAAGCCTGGTTCACACATGTAGGAGAATGAGGAGGTAAAATGGACTGCAGCACTTCAGACTGCAAATGAAAGAAAGCCCAGCACGGAATGTTTCTTTGTATAGAAGTCCCTGCAGAAAGAAAGCTAGCACATCAGGGAGAAAGACCCTCTCCTTCCCCTCTTGACCGGTTCCCTATTTGCAGGCAGTTTTTTTTAAAAGGAGAGCATTCCCACGTGTGATCCTCCCACCTGCAGACTGATGTGGTCCAGACCACCTCCTTCCATCGCAAATGACAGAACCAAGCCTGGTGGGGGAAGAGCTGAATCCGTGGCAGCAGGGGCTAGCGGCAAAGTCTTTTCCAAGAGCAGGAGGAGGACTGAAGGAGGAGGGGTGGCGTTGGCATCGCCTGCACCTGGCACTAAATTTCTTAGATCCTTGGTCATTTTGCATGTTGGCATTTTGCGCATCAGTGTGTGTGGGGGGGGGGTTCCAGGGCCCCCGGGGGGCATGGGAAATGGTTGTAGTCAAGCAACTTGTGAGCGTCCTCCCGAACATTTGGGGGGGGGGGCAGAGGGGATCTTTGTTGGAGAGCCCGTGTGGGCAGTCCTGGCGATGCTCCCGGGGACTAAAAGCTGGATGTGGAGCCAGGCGTCTGCTCAGATGGCCTTAAGGGCCGAAAGGGAAAAGATTGCTTTAAATCTGTCTTTAGATCCAGCTTCCCACTTCTAGTTCAGACCTTTTGGGAGGCGGCTTTCATAGCAACCGGTTACTCTGTCAAATAAAGCCTATCAGTTTACGACTGAATAAGTTCCAGCTCCTGCCAACCTAGCAGTTCGAAAGCAAGAAATTGCAGGTAGATAAATAGGTACCACTTTGGTGGGAAGGTAACAGCGTTCCGTGCGCCTCGGTGTTTAGTCATGCCGGCCACATGACCACGGAAACGTCTTCGGACAGCGCTGGCTCTTCGACTTTGAAATGGAGATGAGCACCCCAACCCTAGAGTCAGATTCGACTGGCTTTCGAGCAAGGGAAACCTTTACCTTTTTAAGGACTTTTGAAGGGAGGGCACAGATTTCTGCTTGACTTTCTCAGTACATATGCAGCAGGACGCTCGGCAAGATCCAGATACCTGAAGGCATTGCCTCTGTCCGAAGCTGGCCCCAGAGTGCTTGGTAGGGTTGCCAACCTCCAGGCAGAGCCTGGACATCTCCAGGAATTACACATCTCCAAAAGATTTAGATCATTTCCCCTGGAGACACTGGCTACTTTGGAGGTCGGACTCTATGGCATTATACCCGGCTGGGGTCCTTCCCCTCCCCAAACCCTGCCTTCCCCAGGCCCCACCCCCCACCAATCTCCAAGAGTTCCCCCACCTGGAGTTGGCAACCCTAATGCCTGGGAACATTAGTTCCCTGGTGTCAGGTCTGTCTGTAAAACGGTTTGGGGAGACCCAACCGAGCTCATTGCAGACATAACATCGAGTTTGGCCGTTAAGCAGGCGTCGATGCCTGGTACTGTACAGAATTCAGACCATGGTCCCTGTGAATGTATATATGGTACTGTACAGAGGCAAATGGGGCAATTGCCGGGTAGGAGAAGAAGAGAAGAGATTGGATTTATACCCCGCCCTTCACTACCCAAAGGTGTCTCACAGTGGCTTACAAACTCCTCTCCCTTCCCCTCCCCACAACAGACACCCTTGTGAGGTAGGTGAGGCTGAGACAGCTCTGACAGAAACTGTTCTTTTTCAAGGACAGCTGTGCCAGAGCTTGTTACTGGCCCAAGGTCACATCAGCAGGTGCAAGTGGAGGAGTGGGGAATCAAACCCGGTTCTCCCAGATTAGAGTCCGCACACTTAACCACTACACCAAACTGGCTCTCCCGGGTAGGAGGGTGGAAAAGGCACACAGCCTATTGAGTTGCATGTTTATTGTTCCATGTTACGGATTCTGTATTCTTAGAGCTCCTTCATATGTCTGGAGTCACTGTCAGCTAGAGGTGTCCTTGGAGTGCCATGCTGGAAGATTAATTCCCACGTGCTTCTGGGCCAGATCCAGACCAGGACCATGATGGGAAGAAGGGGTTAAACCCTTCCCCCACATTGCTGAGGGCTACACGTTAGTTTCCACTACGGGGCAAACAGTGCCCCTCCCCTGCACCATGTCAGGTTGGGGAACCGGCAGGGGAGGGGAGGGTTAATCTCCCTTTCTGCATGCACCAAGGTCCCAATCTGAATTGGGCCCAAATGTGCACTGGAATTCAGTTCCCAGAATGGCACTTCCAAAGCAGCTGATACTCCACACATCTGCTACATGGAATTTGTAGCATGTGAACCTGATCGCATGGTAGCGTTCCCAGCCTCCAGGTAGGACCGGAGGTCTGGCGTCCCAGAATTACAAGTGATCTCCAGACTGCAGAGATCCGGTTCCTCCGGAGAAATTGGGTGCTTTGGAGGGAGGGATCTGTGGCATCCTATCCTGCTGAGGTCCCACCCCTCCCAGGCTCCGCCCTCGTTTCTCCCAGAATTTCCCGACACGGAGATGGCATCTCTGTCTTGCAGTAAACTGCTTTAAGGCTGGGAAATGGGGTTAAAATATTAATATATTTCTAATTACTTGATCTCGGGGTTTTCCTCCCACATATGTTTTATGTGTACGTATACAAAAAAAAGAATTTCATCTGAATAGTCTGACACAGGGTGACATAAATTTCATTTTAGCAAAAGGTAACGGTTTCCCTTGCTTGAAAGCGAGTCAAATCCGACTTTAGGGGGCGGTGCTCATCTCTGTTTCCAAGCCGAAGAGCCAGCGCTGTCCAAAGACGTTTCCGTGGTCGTGGCCGGCATGACTAAACGCCGAGGCACACGGAACGCTGTTAGCGTCCCATCAAAGCAGTACCTATTTATCTACTTGCAATTTCTTGCTTTCGAACTGCTAGGTTGGCGGGAGCTGGGGCCAGAGATGGGAGCTCACTCCGTCATGCGGTACTCAGGTATCAAACTGCTAAACTACAGACCTTCTGGTCTGCAGCTCAGCGTCTTAACCTCTAAGGGATTATAAGTATACCTTTGAGCACTGTTAGTTTTAAAGATAAAACTGAAGTTTGAAGAAGGAAAAATCCACCTTTGGCTGAGTTATGACAGTATGGGCTTTTTAGTTAGGAAAAACACATTCAGGGGAAAGCCGTACTGGTTTACAAAATTTGTGCAGTGGGATGGTCGCGGTCAATACTAAATCTTGAGGCCACCTTACAAAGTTGATTGGCAATAGGGGCAGGTTAAGTGACTTATAACTTGTGGAACTCCCTGGCGCAAGATGTGGTGACGGTCACTAGCTTAGATGGCTTTTTAAAGGGTTACAAAAATGCACGGGAACATGACAGCGTTAACAGGGACTGCTGTGGCATATATACTTGCTGTGTAGTTTTCAGACCTTTCTCAGTCATTCCTAAGGTTTTTTACTTGCTTTCTGGGAAACCTCATTTCGCTCTTCCCTCTGGGAAGGGTTTGATTCGACATCTTTAAAAAAATCTACTTGTTAAATGAATATTGTATTTTGCAAGGACTGGATGCTTGAATCCAGCTTCCTAAACAACCCTTGTGGAGAGAGGTGGCAAAATAAACATTTAACCAGAAGGGAAAGCAGAAGATGATGGTTGGTCCCCTGGGTAAATTAGTGCTGGCAGGCTGAGTTTCCCTGTGTTAAAGCTTGGAGAACCGGGGCCTTTTGGCAGCGCGTGGAGCGTCTGGCTCACTTCTCTGTGCAGTTTCTGGTTGACTCCTTTTTAAAACAGAAAATACTTGTTTTTTTTACGACAGAGCATAAGCCTCAGATTTTGCAGACCAGAGAGACACTTAACCGCAGGACAGATGTGATGAATTTCACAACAGGCTGCAGATGTCTTGTTTTCTGTGTATGGTTGTTGTTGTTTTTTTAAAGTCTGTTTGTAAACCCAGCCAACCTTAAAGGGTGTGTTTTCCTCGCTTCGTTTTTAAGAATTGTTTTTCAAAAGTCAGGCCTCTTACAGACCTTCATGTCACACTTTTGGAAGCCGAGTCCATGTCATTCTTGGATCCGTGGGTGGATGCGGCGCCCCGCTCTTGGGCAGTCCTCGGGGAACAATGGCAGAGACACCCCACACACAAACGCGCATGCGCACACACACACATGGGCAGTAAACGGGCTTTATTTTAAACAATCCTACCAGCAATTAATTTCCCCTGGATTATTGGCAGCAGGGTTTCTGGAAACAGTAAACGGCATTTTGCAAAATGGTGTAAAAAGATACCGAAAAGAGCGACCCGCATGTCGAAGGGATTGGGGCTACTTCCCTACTAAGAAAAAGTCCGCGCATCTGGAACTTCTAAGCTAGAGAGGCAATGGGGTGCGGGTGGGTGTATGTGCTTGGTGGCCTTGGTAAAATGCAGAAGGGTGTGAAGAGGGCGCATAGGCCTCACAATCTAGGCACGTATCCTTCCCCTTTCCTTCTCATGCATAAATCCCCTCCCCCAAGAGTTTGCTGCGACGGTTGTCTAGTATTACCGCTGTGTCAGGACTGAACTGGTGGACGTCCCCAAAAGGTAGTCTGCACAGCCACTCCAAGCCAAGCTTTCCCAGTCTCCAGAGCTGCCTTGACCTCTGCAGGCTCCCAATGTCTAGAGCTCCAGTGTCTTCCTATCCCACATTCATTTGCTCCGCAGTAGCTTCAGGACAGGCCGTAGCAAAGTGGTATGATTTCACACAGGTACCCAGGCAAAAGTGCATTGTTATGGCAAAGGGAGAGCAAGTGGGAGAGTTGTGTGTTTCTAGTTGTCGTCCCTTGGGGCAGAATGAAAAAAAAGACTGGTGGGGCAGGACCCTCCCCGCTCCCCCCCCCTCCTCCTGCTTCCGCAGGCAAAAAACCTGTGTTTCCTTTTTGGTTCATTGTGTCTTTCTCTCTCCCCCCCCCCTCCTGTCTTGCAGCATCAGTGAAAGCTTTCTCACGGTGAAAGGCGCAGCCCTCTTCCTGCCTCGTGGAAATGGTTCTTCAGCTCCCCGGATCAGCCACCGGCGCAACAAACATGCAGGTAACTTACCTTCCCTTCCAGTAGGAACTTGGGCACACTGCTCCTCTGCAGAGCGAGGGTTCATATGTTACCCCTTCTGATGAGGCATGCTCACTCTCTCTCTCTCTCTCACTCTCTCCTCTCCTGTATCTATGAAAGGCCTAGGAAAATGGCCTTTATCTCACATTGTCTCTGTCGACTTCCCACTTTGGGTCACCTATCTTTGCAAATACTGCCCTTGGGCCGAACCTGTACATAACTTGCCGGGGCCTTGCAGTCCCCAGCTGTGGTTCCCTGATAAACCATAGTCTGGCTGGCTGGACCAGTCCAATGAAGACTGGTTGGAGCCCTGACCTGGATAGCCCAGACAAGCCCAATCTCGTCCGGTCTCAGAAGCTAAGCAGGGCCGACCCTGGCAAGTATTTGGATGGGAGACCTCCAAGGGATACCAGGGTCAGGAGGCAGAGGCAGGCTATCGAGCCACTTCTCTGAACGTCCTCCGTGCCCCAGTAGGAATCGCTAGAGGTCGCCATGACTTCCAGGGACGGACATGGAAACATACGCGTGGGTGCAAAACAACAACAACAAAAAAGACTGGTTGGAAGCCCTGTTTCTGGCCTGCCTTGCATGAACATATTGCTGTCTCTGGAAGGTAAATGGGGCAAGAGTAAATGCAAGCACCAGGGGAGGGGGATAGGGGCCTGGGCTGTTTACTCGAGGGTTGCCAGGTCTTACCTGGCTGCCAGCAGGGGGGCTCCAGCCCGAGTGCCTGGAGCTTGTGGCGCACGCTGCAGTGATGTCACCCAGAAGTGACGTCATTGTGCCAGGAACATTGTGCAAGGGATGCTCTAGCACTTTCCCAAATACTCTATGGTCACCATAGAGTTTTTAGGCAAATGCTAGAGTGCCCCCGTTGTGACATGCCCGCACAATGACATCACCTCTAGGTGCCATCAGGGCTATTTTTGGGCAGGAACGCACAGGAACGGAGTTCCGGCTGGCTCCTGAGTTGGCCACGCCCAGCAGGAACTCATTAGCATAAGAGGCCACACCCAACATCAGAAACTCATTAGGATTGGCTACATAAGGGATGTGTGGCCTAACATGCAAAGGAGTTCCTGCTACAAAAAAAGCCTTGGGTTTTGACAACAAACAAAGTAAACAGAATAAGAAGCAAAAGGTGGGTGTGGCTGCTTGACCACACTTCTGGTAACATGGGGCCTAATATGTTAATGAGATGTGACGTCAGGGTGTGACCTAATATGCTAATGAGTTTCTGCTGTTGGGTGTGGCCTATTATGATAATGAGTTCCTGCTGGTCTTTTTCTACAAAAAAAGCCCTGGGTGCCATCATCACAATGGGGCTCTTTGGAGCAGGGCTCCTCCCACCGGCCAGCTGACTCGCAGCGGATTGGGGGCCCTGAAAGCTGGGGAAACCCCGCCCCCATTAGCGGGGGGGGGGGATGGCGACCCTTGTTTGCTCTGCTTCCTGACTCCTCCTTCTCTGCTCCAGGGGACCTTCAGCAGCACCTACAAGCCATGTTCATGCTTCTCCGACCAGAAGATAATATCCGGCTGGTAGGTCTCCTCTGTCTCTTTGTTTGCCGCTGAATCCTTGTGCTCCCCAGTGGGGCCTTTGGGAGACCGCTCCCAGGCCCCACTCCATCCCCCCCCCCCAATCTTAAAACCAGGTAACGTGAGGGCTCATGTCGTCCAGCCCCGCCGAGCGCTTCCAGCGTCAAGCAGTAAAGGGGTGCTTTAATCATGCTGCTGGCAGCTCCGGAGGTCATTGTTCCGCCGTATCACTGGCGACATTGTATATCTCTGTGGGCTGTTATTTTGGTTTATTTGATAAATCAGCCTTCCTCGAGGCAGGAAAAAAAGGGTGCCACGGGGGCCAGGACAATGGGGTCTCTTTGTGCGGCACTAAATGTAGAGAGCTGAGATCACGCAGGGGCCACCGTTTGATCGTCCGTTTGAAGGCTGGTGGGCCAGTCACACGGAACTATTAAGCTCTCGGAATATTAACTCACAAAGCAAATGGCCTTTCTTCCTGGGTTGCCTTATCCAAGGGGGGGAGGGGGAAGTATTATGATTTTTGTTCTCCCCGAAGAGAGCTAGGGGATGATCTTTTGGGGAACCAGCAGTGCTCAGTGCCAGGATTTAATGATCTCTGCTGTGCAAGCCAGTTCCCAAGGAACTAAACACAAGGTGGGACCATGCAAACGACAGTGGTGGGGTTGTGCAGATCGGCTGCATTCTCAGGAGTTCCCACAGAGCTCTGCACGCTTGGTACTTGCACAGAGCTTTTCTGCATTTCCCAAAGCCCTATGCGTTCCTGCGGTATCCAAACTAGATGTGATACTGGGAAACCCAAGAATAGATTTTAGCAGCATTTTTTAAAAAGCAGGAAATAGCTCTATGGGACCAGTCAGGATCAAGACCCTTGAGTAGGAGGCATTTCTGTCCAAGAAATGGTGTGGGGTGTTAAGCACACATACCCATCCCAGTGCCATAGTTCCAGTACAAATCCACACAGCTGCTTTTAGACAAAATCTAATGTCCGGAAATCTGCATAGCTTGTCTAATTGAGCTTGTCTCCTAGCTTGTCTAATGAGCCTTGAGAAAACCAAGCTGCTAGTTCTTTGGGAGGCAAGTGTAGGTTTGAAACCAGGAGCGGTGTCTGCTTGTCGAGAATTTGTGTGCAGATCACCGGGCATGATATTGAACAGTTCCCAAGCAGTTTTGGGACCTCAGCAGCAGACAAAGCTTTTTGTTCCTTTCTGCAAGTGTGCAAGACAGATGCACAGTTTCAGAATTTATGTAGGTCTCAGAATTCAGCTTTTCATGGTGCAGAATTTGGAAGGATTTAGTGCACAGTAAGAACATTAGAAGGAGCTGCGGTGGCTCAAGTGGTTAAGACGCTGAACTGCAGGCTGTGGAAGGTCGGTAGTTCAGCAGTTCAAGACCCGGGGGCCGCATGACGGAGTGAGCTCCCGTCTCTAGTTCCAGCTCCTGCCAGCCTAGCAGTTGGAAAGCAAGTAATTGCAAGTAGATAAATAGGTACCACTTCAGTGGGAAGGTGACAGCGTTCCGTGCGCCTTGGAGTTTAGTCATGCCGGCCACATGCCCACGGAAACGTCTTCGGCCAGCGCTGGCTCTTCGGCTTGGAAACGGAGATGAGCATCGCAACCCTAGAGTCGGATTTGACTGGCTTTCGAGCAAGGGAACCTTTTCCTTTACCTTTTTAAGAACATAAGAACATAAGAGAAGCCAATGTTAGATCAGGCCAGTGGCCCATCCAGTCCAACACTGTGTCACACACAGTGGCCAGAAATACCAGGTGCCATCAGGAGGTCCACCAGTGGGGCCAGGAGACTAGAAGCCCTCCCACTGTTGCCCCTCCAAGCACCAAGAATACAGAGCATCACTTGCCCGAGACTGAGAGTTCCTAACTATACCTTGTGACTAAGAGTTCCTAACTATACCCACTGATGGACCTCTGCTCTATATGTTTATCTAATTCCTTCTTGAAGCTGTCCACACAACTCCTGTGGCAGTGAATTCCATGTGTTAATCACTCTTTGGGTGAAGAAGTACAGTGCACAAGTTTGTTTTTTCCCCCTTAAGGGATGTCGTAGATTATAAACCCAGTGAAATCTAAGGATTAGGCCTTTCAGAGGAAAGGCCTGTGAAGTGTCCTGATCCGGAATTTTCCATTTAATTCGTCTATACCTCACCTTTCTCCCCAAAGCGACTTATGTCCTCCTCTCCTGCATCTTATCCTGAGAGTGTGTGACTGCCCCAAAGTCTCCCAGCAAGCTTCCATGGCAGAGTTGGGATCCAAACCAGATCCGGCACTCGAAGCACTGGTTCTCCACACTGGCATACCCATCCATCGGAGTCGCTTCAGTCCTGGCATACCTGCTCCCCATCTCTGCCAGCTTTCTGGCTAACCAGTATTTCCCATATCAGGCAGACACCTCTGGAGATGCTTGAAGGGCTGTCGTTATAGGTGCGGAGTTGTTTCCTGTTGCCCCAGAAGGTCGGACCAGAACCAACAGGTTGAAAGTAAATCAAAAGAGTTTTCGGCTAAACATTAGCAAGAACTTCCTGACCGTTAGTGAGGTTCCTCAGTGGAACAGGCTTTCTCGGGAGGTGGTGGGCTCTCCTTCTTGGGAGGTTTTCAAACAGAGGCTAGATGGCCATCTGACAGCAATGCTGGTTGTGTGAACTGAGGCAGATCACGAGAGGGAGGGCAGGAAGGGTTGCACCAGTGCTTAGTTCTCGTGGCCCTTTCTTACACGCCCAGGGAAATGCTGATGGCCACTTTGGGGTCAGGAAGCAATTTTTCTCCAGGCCAGTTTGGCTGGAGATCATGGAGGTTTTTTGTCATCTTCTGGTTGTGGAACAGGGGTCACTGGGTGTGTGTGTGGGGGGGTAGGCATTTGTGAATTTCCCGCATTGTGCAGAGGGTTGGACTAGATGACCCTGGAAGTCCCTTCCAACTCTTTTTCTATGATTTACTCTTTGTCCTTGGCAGAGGGAGAACTGTGAGAGTGGCTGCTAGACATTTGACACACGCCCCCAGCATGCTTTTCTTATAGCTCAATAAATATTATATGATGTGATCCTTAGGCAGGTGTTGTAGTGGCATTGTAGAGCAAACCTGTGGCTTGGAGGAGACGTCGGTTGGGTGAGAGAATCTCAGCCGACGACACTACACAGCAAGAGTCCTCAGAAATATAGTTTGGGAAGAGCCTGGGCTTAGCATGGAGAGGGCCTCAAGTCCCACCCCCAGCATGTCCAGCTAAACAGGGTTCCCCGTTGCAGGTGTCGGGAAAGGCCCTTCTGTGCCCGAGACCCTGGAGAGTTGCTGCCAGTCGGAGCCGGCAAGGCTGAGCTAGAGGAACTGATGGTCTAACTTGGTATAAGGCAACTTTAGATCTCAAGCATCTGCTGTAAGGTCAGGCCGAGGGTCAGCAGCAGGACCAGACATACAAACTTATTACGGTCATAGATCAACAATCGATACACTAGGAGGCAGATAAATAACTGATAAAAGATTTGTGATACAAATACAATTTTATAATTTTAAATAGAAAAATATAACATATAATAGCATCTAAGATTATAAATTATAAAAATAAATCTAGGCCTATCTGTACTTCTTTATCTCTTTCCTAGCTCGGTATGCCAACCGACCAAATTTGGCAACCATCCTAGTGCAGATAGGCCTAGATTTATTTTTAATTTCTGATCCTAATATTAGTTTTGCCATTTCTTTATTTTAAACTTCATAGGTTCCTGTTTATCATTTTAGATGCTATTATGTTTTATAATTCCACTGTTCTTTTATCAGTTATTTATCTGCCTCCTATTGTATTGATCGCTGGTCTGTGACCGTAATAAACGTGTATGTCTGGTCAGCAGCACACAGACAGTCCCGAAGTCAACCGGCAGCATCTCTACTGTGGTCTCCTGTGCCGGCGCTCTGGGGAGCCACTGCATGTCTGAGTAGAGTCATGGAATGTTAGAGCTGGACAGGCTTTTGGAAGCCATGCACTTTGGCGCCCTGCCCGGGCACAGGAGCTCTATCTCTGACAGATTGCCATCTGAACCTCAGCTGAAGGAGTCGGTATATTCCACAGTTGAACAGCTCTTACCAGTGGGAAGTTTCTCCTCAAATTTAGCTGAAATCTGCTTCCTTGTCACCTCCATCCTTTAGTTCTAGTCGGGTCATTTCCTAGAAAAAGAGGTGCAGGAGCTCATTTGCATATGCCACACCCCTTGACAAAGGGCAGGCGTGTTTAAAATGAGTTAAGGCATATGCAAATGAGTTTAAATCCCTCCCCCCCCCCGGTCCCTGATTGGGCAGGGAACCCAGGCATTTAAATCCCCCCCCCTTGAGACTCTCCGCAGGCGGGTGAGGAAAGGCGGGGGTGGGTGGGGCCTGGGCTCCTTAAGAACATAAGAGACGCCAATGTTGGATCAGGCCAAAGGCCCATCCAGTCGAACACTCTGTGTCACACAGTGGCCAGAAATACCAGTGCCATCAGGAGGTCCACCAGTGGGTCCAGGACATTAGAAGTCCTCCCACCATTGACCCCCCCCCAAGCACCAAGAAGACAGAGCATCACTTGCCCCAGAGCCCCTACCTATACCTTGTGGCTAATAGCCACTGATGGCTTCATCCTTACTGCCGGACCGCTGCTCTGGGGCGCTCTGGCAGGAAATGACCCCTGGTTCTAGTCCTGCCCTCCGGGTCAAGTGAGAACATGTTGGCCTCCCCTCTTCTGTAGGACAGATATTTGAAGACGATGTTCAGGTCTCCCCGTAGTCTTTCTCTTCTCCTGGCTAAGCACACCCATCTCTTCCCACCTTTCCTTGTAAGGTTTGGGTCCCAGAACTCATGTTGTCACTCTCCTCCGGGTATGCTGTAGTTTGTTGATGTCGATTGTCCAGAAATGGACATCGTCCTCCAGAGGAGGGTTGAGCAACGCAGAAGAGAAAAGAGCGATGACGTCTCCTGATCCAAACACCTGGGCTTCTCTTCATGCCGTCTTAAGATTCCATTT